AATTTTTGAAAAAAAATAACACAATTTCATGAATATATGAAACCGAAAAGGATAAAACTAAGAGAAAATGGTTAATGTTAAAAACTGTGAAAAAAATGTGGATTATATTTATAATTGACATCAATTCATAGGTCAATTTACAAATTACCCTCAAATTTGTGTATATCTATTAAAAAATTATTTAATTTGAAAATTATATAAAGAATAATAGGTCATAAGTTTTAATGGAAGTGTGTAAAAATAAATACATTACTATTATACATCGAAGTTTCATACATATTAAAAAATATATTTTAATCTTTACTTTAATATTACTTAAATCTTTATGTTTTATTTAAAATATCATTAATTGTGTACTTTAACAAAATCTAACTACTGATAAAACAAACTGAAAAATAGAAAATATGAAGACATGAAAAAATAAATTACGCCATATTTTACATGTTTTAGATTTTTGTATATCTATTAAAAAAATTATTTAATATCAGAATTATGTAAAGAGTAATAGGCCATAAGTTTTAATGAGATTGTATGTAAGTATTGGTATTAATTTTACCGGGCCAAGAGAGAGCCTGACACGTGGACCTAGAGTACGCTAGATAGTGACACACGCCACGTTAGTTCGGCCGATCCACTCTCACGTACTGTTCCAAGGCAGTTGGCGAACTTTCCCAAATACGCTAAAATCATTATCCTCACCTGCTCTCTTGGCACGACGAATGAAAGAGACAAGACAAGGAGCCTGCGAGTATAAATAGGAGGAGATCATCACACAGAGGAGGGGGACTGATCGGAGGGAGAAAAAATCCCTCGATAAGAGGAGGTAACTATCCACATCTGAGTCAGTCAGCTCTAGGCAAGCAGCATGATCACGGGTGAACTCCATGTTCTTCTTGGGTGCCTATCAGGTTAAGCCATCCCTATCCCAGAATCTTGTCTTCATACTCGCTTTGTCTTCTTTTATCATATAGAAATCCCTTCGAAACATCCGAGAACAGATTGAAGCCTCGATCCTAGGACGAGACTTCTCACACTAACCCGTATAAATTTTTCCTCCTGAGTACTTGTTCCCGGTAGGATGTCCTGACTTGGGCGTCAGAGAACCTTCGGGAGGGAATCCCCCTTTTGGTCATCCTGCAGGCCCGTCTGACCTTTCCTTGAGTGTTTACAGGATGGGGCGCGAAGTTCATCTCGTCATCCCGGCATCAGAAGCTTCCACCCCGGAACGACTCATTGCCTTTCCCCTCAGAGGACGAAACTCGGAGGCACAGCTCCATTCTCCGACGAATCACACCCCCACGTGGCATCCCGAAATTTGTTCAGGAACAATAAGATATGTTTCACTTCAAAAGTTGATAATGATTTTTAATATATCTTATAAACATTCTTTTTAGATATTAAGATTATGTCCCATTAACCTCTACATAATTCTATTCAATTTTTATTTTGTTTTTTCCTAAACAAAAATATCATTAATTAATTACTAAAAAACATAATTCAACCAATAGTAAAACAGTCATAACGTATAAATAGATTACATATAGTAGTACTTAATGTTTTAGTCTTTTACATATATATTAAGAAATTATTTAATATCAGAATTATTTAAGTGTAATGGTCATACGAGTATGTGAAAGATATATTACATCTTGGAATCTGAAAGAGATCTTTAGTACCCTCTTTATTTATTTTTTTTAAAAAAGACTTTTTAGAATTTTCACATATTTAAAAAATATATTAAATTTGACAGTATTATTTTATGATTAATAATTTCCTATAAATTTAAACCATTAGTAATTCAATAAAATTCAACTACTTTTCTTAAAAAATTATTCAATTTATTATTGTTAACTATAAAAAATACATCAAAAATAGAAAACATTCTTTTTTTGAAACAATTTTTTTCTAAAACATATATCTTTAAAAAACATTGAGAATATATTTTACAAACACTCTATTTAGATATTAAAGCTATGTTACATTAACCTCTACCTAATCTTAATATTCAATTTTTTTCCAAAAAAAAATATTATTAACTATTTACTAAGCACAAGTCAACCAACAATAAAACAAACTGTAGAATTCAAATGGTTAAAACATACTTTTTATGATGGTGTTTTAGAATTATACACACAAATTTAGAAAACTTATATAATACATATTATAACTTTCTTTATTATTGTTAACTTTAATTTTAAAAATTATTAATTAATATGAAGATAAAAAAGTTATTTATTATAGAATTTTGCATAGAATTTTGATAACATCAATTATCTTTGGAAAAAACCCCTAAAACAAATATTTTTTCAGTAAGCATAAAGTTATGAGCGAGTTTACACAAGGGGCGTGTATGGTGTGATTGAGTTTGCTCGGTTAATTGGTGAAATTAAAAATAGAGGTGCTAAACCAGATGGGTTTTGGGTTAGTGTTAGCCGAAAGACTCAGGTTGGTGTTAGTTGTTGATGCTGTGAAAAAGTTGGTTGAGAAATAAACCTTGAACCGGTTTTTCTCTTAGGCTGGTGATTCAAAGAAAAGAGAGCACATATCAGATCTGTAGTGTGGTGCTTTACGATTCTACTGATCTTCGTTTCTTCTTTTTTTTTGGTAAAATGATTCTACTGATTCTACTGATCTTTATAGAAGAAAATAGTAATATGATAATTAAATATCTTTGTAGAAAATGATTAATTGATAATGATGTGATACATAGAAAAATGAGAACGATTGCCACAAAAATGGTAGTTTGGATATGCAAAAATCATTCATAACTTGTATTCAATCCACTACATATTATTTCAGAAGTAATATTATTAAAAATAGCTGATTTGTCAACACTGCAGCAAAAGTTAGTGCTTTTAATTGATGACATGTAAATGTGACATGTCAAACTTCCTAAAATAAATAAAATGTTTTGATTGGTTGAATTAAAATTAAAGAACTTGTGGAATTAAAACATAAAACACTATATTATACTTATAACACTAAAATTAATAAATTTTAAATTAACAGAAAATAAGTATTATTATGATTTTAATATTTTATATATATTCATAATTTCATAAAATATAATTAAAAATGTTTTCAACAAAAAAAAATATATATATATATAAAATCGAAAAATAATACTAAATTATCCAATAGAATAGTAAAGATTTTATATATTAATAATGTTTGAATAATGATATATTTTTATTTTGGAAATTTATAAATTTACAAAATATAGTAATAACATCTAAACAAGTTTTAAATAAACAAGCTATTAAATAATACAATTTCAAATAAAATACAATCATGAGAAAATTAATTTAAAGAATAAAATGTTAAAAATTATAAAAAATAATCAACTTTTATTGAAATTTTTTAAAAAACATAATTTTAAATAAATTTTCTTTTCAAACCAATATTTACTAAATTAATAAAGTATATACTAATTATTATTTTATAATATAAATAGGACTATATAGTTTTATAAAACTTTTATCACATTTTTATTGTTGTTTTCTAAAATATACATAACTTATGTTACCATCTCATCTTATATCTTATCATAATTAAATATAAAAAAATTATATCATATTCATATATATATATTTGTAATTTTTTTATTGTATATCAAAAATTTGAGATCATAAATGAAATAAAAAATAACCAAACAAAATAATAAATTAAAATAAGATGAAATAAATATGAATAAGAATTAAAAATAGAAGTGTATAAAAATAAATCTCTCGCATTTTGTTTTACAAAGACACGTAAAAACTTTTTAACATGTAAGAGCCATATTTCGACTTTTTTAAAAATACGTGTACAGACATAAATATTAATTGTGCATTAGTAGAAGTCACATGAACTTTTTTGTGTATGTTAGTATTTGTTAAGCTTGATTACAGTCTAATTTATATTTTAATTTTTATAGTACAATTTATTTTTTTAAAATTTTTTTTATCTATTCTAAGTGTAGTGAGGTGGTTGGTACCCCCACACATGCATGTCAATTATCTATCTGCTCTTAGGATAAGTAAAAATGGTAAAAACTATTTCAGTTTAATTTACAATAAATAAATAAAAAATTACTTAAAAATATATTATATACGTATTTCAAATTCATATTATGTAAGACGTAAAAATTATTGTAGATTGTGTAAGGTAAAATAAAACATATTATAAATAATATTCAAAAAATATTATAAGAATTTAATTATTATTTAATATAACTTTTAAATTTTATTATATATTATTACAAATTTTATAAAAATAAAAAGTTTTTAAAATACATTAGTTTCAGAAATAAGTTATGAAATACGAAAACAATATATATTTATATATATATATATATACAAATATACTAATGTTTTAACTATGTGTATCAAAAATATTATATACGCATATATGTGCAGGCTAACCACCTAGTTGTTTATAAATATTTAATAATTAAAGGTTTTTGTACACAAATTAAGAAATTATTTATTTTTTTAGTTCTTTTAAACAAAACATTATTGATTATCAATATAAATAGAATTCAACCAGTAACAAAACATGCAGAATACAAATAGTCATGTAATATAAAAAAATTACTCTACTTTTTTTAATAAGTGATGTTTTAGGTTTTTGCACACAGATTAAGAAATTATTAAAAAATATCATTAATTGTAATTATAAATAGATTTCAACCAATAATAAAACATGCAGAATATAAATAGTCATGAAATATAAAAAGTGAGTCCATTTTTTTTATAAATAGTGTTTTGGATTTTTATACATATTAAGAAATTATTTATTTTTCTGTAAATAAAAACATCAGTAGTTATCTATATGAACACAATTCAACCAGTAAAACAAACTTTCAGAATACAAATGGTCATAAAACATAAAATATTAATAAATTTACATCGAAATTGAAAATTGAAAATATCATCTACTTTGAATTTAAGAAAAGATGGGGACAAAATTGCAATTGTTTTAATTTTCTTCCGCAGGATGCAAAAAAAAAAACTGAAAAAGCAGTGTTGTGGCTCTGCTCCATATTAATGGCGACGAGTGTGACTGAAAAACGACAAAAGAGACAAGAGCAGCCTTGGACGGGAGGGTCTCCGTACGCTCTCTCAGAACCCAAAAACATTCTCTCTCTCCATCCCATTTTCTGTTATATCACCAACCTCTCTCCGTATTGTCGTCTCTTGTTTTACTCTCTCTTTCTCTCTCTCTCTCTCTCTCTCTGAATCTTCCTTTTCCTCCTTTGTGAAATCGCTTCTTTATCTTCCCCTTTTCGATCTGCTCTTTTTAGATACACAGTGTTGATAAATCGACGATGTTTGGAGAAAACTTTATGGGTTTTGGAGGTTTTCCGGGAGATTTTAACATGAGAAGAGCTGATCCGGATCGTCGTCTTCCTCCTGATTTTGGTTCCTCCGATGGGTTTCTACAGAGTCTCGACACAAACCCGTTTCTGAAGAATCATTGCTACAACAAGAGCGATATGGTGTCTGATGGTCTTGATCTGTGTAAAAAGCTCAGTAAAATGGGTATCGCTTGTGACATGAGCATTTGGAGCAGACCCGAGCCGATTCGGGTCGACCCGGGAGACTTTGGGTCTAGAGGAAATCATCTCCGTGAGTTTTCTTCTGGGTTCGAGCAGAATCTGAGTGGAGCTTCTCGGATTCAAAATGGGTTTCGCAACGCTTCCTCTGGGTTTCTTCAAAACACCTCTCATGGAGTTTCTCCGGTAGAGCTTAGATTTCTTGGCGTTCAAGGTTCCGTTAACCCCCACGAGTTTGAAGAGATGATGGCTCTTAAGAATCACAGAGATTTTCACTTGGACCATATGAATCGACCCATGAAGCGTCCTTCTCCTTGTCTTAGAGCCGTCTGTCTTGGGAACGATGCATTTCAGGGTCCGTTGATGTTTGAGGAAGAAAGGGTTTCTCGTAACCTAGCCGCCATGGAAGCTTCTACAGAGCTTGGGAACGATGCGTTGATGTTTAAGGGAGAAAGGGTTTCTCGTAACCTAGCCGCCATGGAAGCTTCGTATACAGAGGATATTCTCAGAGCCAGAGGCGTCTCTTTTGGGAACGATGCGTTGATGTTTGAGGAAGAAAGGGTTTCTCGTAACCTAGCCGCTATGGAAGCTTCTTATACAGAGGATATTCTCAGAGCCAGAGGCGTCTCTTTTGGGAACGATGCGTTGATGTTTGAGGGGAAAAGGGTTTCTCGAGCTCTAGCCGCCATGGAAGCTTCTGGAGCTTCTCATCCACTGGTCTCTCTTGGGAACGATGAGTTGATGTTTGAAGGAAACAGGGTTTCTCGAGCTCGAGCAGCCATGGAAGTTCCAGGAGCTTCTCTGATGGGTCCAAGGAGCACTAATGGCCTGCCTCAAAGTCTAGCCTCCATGGTTAACATCTACGGATCTGTGAAATTAATGGCGAAAGATCAAGTTGGTTGCAGAGTTTTGCAGAAATTGGTCGGTGAAGGAAGGTTTCTTGATGTTATATTCACTGAAATCATTAACCATGTCGTTGGACTTTCTATGGATCCTTTTGGGAATTACATCGTCCAGAAACTATTAGATGCTTGTGACGAGGAACAGAGGACGATTATTGTGAGTGTGTTAACCTCAAACTCAAGGGAGCTCATCGAAATCTGTCTCAGCAATTATGGGTAAGCTTTTATTTTGATTTCATTTCTATCAGTTTTCACATGTTCTGCTGCTAATTTGGTAACAAGAAACAGAGAGCTAGTCTCAAGTTCTCTGCTTCATAAATTTAGTCCTCAAATTAAAATATTGTTACTTTCGACTAGTCCACGAGTTTTTGAATAGAGATGATAGACATTTCATCTTTTTTTTGAAAAGGGTGTGATCTTCTTGTTTTTCGAGAAAGATGAAATCTTTACTATTTTAGGAAATATTTGAAATCTCTGCATAGTTTTAGTATATGGTATAGACATCGCTATCATCTATTAATGTAAGCAACATTTGGTAAAAACGATGAATTTACTTTTTTACTCTTTGCTGTTTTTGGACAAACTAAAGCTGCAAGCACTAGCAAAAGCTGAGACCTTTGGCTAAAAGCCTAGAAATCTGCTCTTTCTGATTTCTGATTTCTGCGTTTTGGAATGAAACAGGACACGGGTTGTCCAGAAGATGATAGAAGCTGTGAAGACAAGACAGCAGATAGGGATGGTGAAGTCAGGTCTCAAACCGGGCTTTCTTGCTCTGGTTATTGATCTGAATGGTAATCATGTTATTCAAACTTGCTTGAACTCTCTAAGTGCTAATGACAATAAGGTTTGTTTAATGTTCACATAATCTCCATATCTTTTGTTTTTTTTTTTACTTAAAGCTCTGACTATGTCTAAAAATCTTATGAAAATTTTGGTTTTCAGTTTGTGTTAGAAGCTGCTACGAAGTACTGTGCTGAGATAGCAGTTCATCGCCACGGATGCTGTGTGCTTCAATGCTGCGTTTCAAAATCTGTTGGAGAGCAACGTGAGAGACTCGTCAATGAGATATCTAAACACTCACTTTACCTTTCTCAGAATCCTTTCGGGTAAATTCATCTTGACTCTAGTCTCAATAATGACTTGGTTAAGTGTGAAAAAAAGTAAAACTCTGCTTATGGTTTATGGGAATGTTCCAGGAACTATGTGGTGCAGTATCTAATAAAGCAAAACGTATCTGCGGTGAAGTTACTGGTTCAGTTTAGAATGCATTACGCGGAGCTAGCGACTCAGAAATTCAGTAGCCATGTGATGGAGAAGTGTCTTAGGAAGTATCCACAGAGTAGAGCTGAGATTGTAGGAGAGCTTCTCTCCGTTCCAAACTTTGAACATCTCTTGCAGGATCCGTATGGGAACTATGTGATCCAAACTGCTCTAACTGTAACCAAGGTCGGTTCCAAAATCAAAACTTATACATTATATACAACAGAAAGCTTTTGAAAACACAAAACTGATATGGGTTTTGGGGTTCGAAAACAGGGTCCTGTTCATGCGAGGCTGGTGGAGAAAGTGAATAGGTATGGGGTCTTAAAGTGGAGTCCATACTGCAAAAAGATATTCTCCAAGACCTTCTTGAGGAAGTGACTAAATAAAAATGATGTTGTGTTTTGTGTTTCAATATCGGTTTAGGCCTTAAGAAAAAGACACTTCCCTTTTGGTTTTTTTTTTGAAGAAGTGACTTTGATTAGTAGCAAAATGTTGTTGTTTTGTGTTTTAAGATCGGATTAGGGCTTAACAAAGACACTGCCCTTTTATTTTGTAGTGGCAACAAACTTTGTCTGATGTTTAAGCCATTGCTCTTTATATATATAACTTAAGAGGCCACACTGATTCTGTCTCTCTCTTTTGCATTATTTGGGAACTTGAAACACACAAAAGAAACAACAAACAATGTTTTTCAAGAATGAAATTAAACGATTTCACAACTCAAATTTTTAACCGTGATTGAGGATAAAACGATGATTATTGTGCTGCAGGAATTTAGTGAAACTGTTAAACAGATTTGATGATAATCCATAACAGGAATTTACTATAAATTGATATTTTGTTCAATTAATCCATGGGTTCAGGTCTAAATTTGACATTTCTTACTTGTAAATCATATCATCTTTCATTAGAAAAGTGTGTGCGAATTGTGATGATTGTTTCAAACACCAATTTTTGCGCCTGTGTTTTGTAATTGACAAAATAATTTTTGCTAAGATACTAAAATTTCATTTGAATAAAAAATGATTATATTATACAAGTAATAAAGATTGTTTCCGTGAACACAATCCGAATTATATTATACAAGTATCCATATTGTTTAAGGCCATATATAACAATCCGAATAAAGTATGTGTGCTTTAATATTTATTCAAATGTTAAAACGTCTCCTTTGTTCTCTCATCAATACAAACAATGGTGTTATTATTATTTATTTTTTTTTTGTCAATCACGATGGTGTTATTGAATTGTGTAATTTAATGTAATTGAGTGTATTTTAAATATACAATCAAATCCAATGTTATTTAATCACGTATTTGAAAAAGTACATTAAAACTCATTGTTATTGGACTAACCATTTGTTTGATGTATTTTTGAAATACATTAAAAACAAGTGTTATTCAATTTTCAACTGATTGTATTTGAATTCAGTTAAAATGTATTTCAATGTATTTTTTTTTCTCTCTAAAACATGAGTAAAATAAATACAAGGCTTTTGGCTGGTGTTTTAGAGTTTTTCAATGAATTCATCAAAACTCAACAAAATTCTTCTAGATTAAATTACACTGAAATACATTTAATACTTCTAATTCAACTTCTATTTTTATCCTATGAAAAGAACAAGTAACAACAAATCATTTTATTGGTTTATATATTAATTATTTTGTTATTTATTTTCTTAATGCATTGCAGAAATGTCAGATTAATGTATCAGTCTGTTCCTGTATCAGACGAAAACATTTCTCTGGTTTATATTATATGTGTTACATTTTTTTTTATTGGTCAAGTATATGTGTTACATCTATTTGTAACATTTGTAGACATCACCATAGTCGCTACCACCACTAGCTTTCTTGGCTCTGATTGTGAATATTGTTATTACAAGGTAATTCGAGTCTCTTGCAGCATTATACATTATACGTCATATAATTTGTAATATAGGTCCAGAAAATCACCACTACGGTTTTGATTAACAGTTGTGGGTTTTGGACCTCGGTAATTGATCCGGCGTCGAGTAGTTTTTCCACTTCATCGATTACGGCTTGTGCTTTCTCGGGATCGAGTTTCCTGCGTTTTTGTTTAATTGGTTTGAACGTAGGACCTACGTTTAATTTATGCGACGTGATTTTGGTGTCGATTCCCTTCATGTCCTCCATGGACCAAGCAAACAAGTGCATGTGGTTGCGTAAAAGTTTGACGAGCTCCGTTTTTATATTTTCTGCGAGGTCACCGCCAATGCTCGCAGTTCTTTCCAGGTGTTGCTCGTCAATGCTTATCTGTATAACTCGCTCGGGCTTCGGTCTTTTGTGGAAGGGAAGACACGGATCTAAGTCTTCGTTCACTATCCAGGTAGTTGCCGTTCTGATTTTTCTTTCGCTGAGAAGACACATTCGTGCCGTTGATTGGTCACCCTGCAGTGTGAACGTACCGGTAGGAGTCAGGAATTTGGTGCATTAATGGTATGTTGAGATGACGACCTTCATGGTGTGGATCCATGGAGTTCCGAGGATGACGTTGTAGATGGTCGGGCAGTAGATGACTGCAAATTCTACCTTCTTGGTTACACCACCGACATAAGTGATTAGATGTATCGAACCGATATTGTAGGAGAGCTTCTCTCCGTTCCAAACTTTGAACATCTCTTGCAGGATCCGTATGGGAACTATGTGATCCAAACTGCTCTAACTGTAACCAAGGTCGGTTCCAAAATCAAAACTTATACATTATATACAACAGAAAGCTTTTGAAAACACAAAACTGATATGGGTTTTGGGGTTCGAAAACAGGGTCCTGTTCATGCGAGGCTGGTGGAGAAAGTGAATAGGTATGGGGTCTTAAAGTGGAGTCCATACTGCAAAAAGATATTCTCCAAGACCTTCTTGAGGAAGTGACTAAATAAAAATGATGTTGTGTTTTGTGTTTCAATATCGGTTTAGGCCTTAAGAAAAAGACACTTCCCTTTTGGTTTTTTTTTTGAAGAAGTGACTTTGATTAGTAGCAAAATGTTGTTGTTTTGTGTTTTAAGATCGGATTAGGGCTTAACAAAGACACTGCCCTTTTATTTTGTAGTGGCAACAAACTTTGTCTGATGTTTAAGCCATTGCTCTTTATATATATAACTTAAGAGGCCACACTGATTCTGTCTCTCTCTTTTGCATTATTTGGGAACTTGAAACACACAAAAGAAACAACAAACAATGTTTTTCAAGAATGAAATTAAACGATTTCACAACTCAAATTTTTAACCGTGATTGAGGATAAAACGATGATTATTGTGCTGCAGGAATTTAGTGAAACTGTTAAACAGATTTGATGATAATCCATAACAGGAATTTACTATAAATTGATATTTTGTTCAATTAATCCATGGGTTCAGGTCTAAATTTGACATTTCTTACTTGTAAATCATATCATCTTTCATTAGAAAAGTGTGTGCGAATTGTGATGATTGTTTCAAACACCAATTTTTGCGCCTGTGTTTTGTAATTGACAAAATAATTTTTGCTAAGATACTAAAATTTCATTTGAATAAAAAATGATTATATTATACAAGTAATAAAGATTGTTTCCGTGAACACAATCCGAATTATATTATACAAGTATCCATATTGTTTAAGGCCATATATAACAATCCGAATAAAGTATGTGTGCTTTAATATTTATTCAAATGTTAAAACGTCTCCTTTGTTCTCTCATCAATACAAACAATGGTGTTATTATTATTATTTTTTTTGTCAATCACGATGGTGTTATTGAATTGTGTAATTTAATGTAATTGAGTGTATTTTAAATATACAATCAAATCCAATGTTATTTAATCACGTATTTGAAAAAGTACATTAAAACTCATTGTTATTGGACTAACCATTTGTTTGATGTATTTTTGAAATACATTAAAAACAAGTGTTATTCAATTTTCAACTGATTGTATTTGAATTCAGTTAAAATGTATTTCAATGTATTTTTTTTCTCTCTAAAACATGAGTAAAATAAATACAAGGCTTTTGGCTGGTGTTTTAGAGTTTTTCAATGAATTCATCAAAACTCAACAAAATTCTTCTAGATTAAATTACACTGAAATACATTTAATACTTCTAATTCAACTTCTATTTTTATCCTATGAAAAGAACAAGTAACAACAAATCATTTTATTGGTTTATATATTAATTATTTTGTTATTTATTTTCTTAATGCATTGTAGAAATGTCAGATTAATGTATCAGTCTGTTCCTGTATCAGACGAAAACATTTCTCTGGTTTATATTATATGTGTTACATTTTTTTTTATTGGTCAAGTATATGTGTTACATCTATTTGTAACATTTGTAGACATCACCATAGTCGCTACCACCACTAGCTTTCTTGGCTCTGATTGTGAATATTGTTATTACAAGGTAATTCGAGTCTCTTGCAGCATTATACATTATACGTCATATAATTTGTAATATAGGTCCAGAAAATCACCACTACGGTTTTGATTAACAGTTGTGGGTTTTGGACCTCGGTAATTGATCCGGCGTCGAGTAGTTTTTCCACTTCATCGATTACGGCTTGTACTTTCTCGGGACCGAGTTTCCTGCGTTTTTGTTTAATTGGTTTGAACGTAGGACCTACGTTTAATTTATGCGACGTGATTCTGGTGTCGATTCCCTTCATGTCCTCCATGGACCAAGCAAACAAGTGCATGTGGTTGCGTAAAAGTTTGACGAGCTCCGTTTTTATATTTTCTGCGAGGTCACCGCCAATGCTCGCAGTTCTTTCCAGGTGTTGCTCGTCAATGCTTATCTGTATAACTCGCTCGGGCTTCGGTCTTTTGTGGAAGGGAAGACACGGATCTAAGTCTTCGTTCACTATCCAGGTAGTTGCCGTTCTGATTTTTCTTTCGCTGAGAAGACACATTCGTGCCGTTGATTGGTCACCCTGCAGTGTGAACGTACCGGTAGGAGTCAGGAATTTGGTGCATTAATGGTATGTTGAGATGACGACCTTCATGGTGTGGATCCATGGAGTTCCGAGGATGACGTTGTAGATGGTCGGGCAGTAGATGACTGCAAATTCTACCTTCTTGGTTACACCGCCGACATAAGTGATTAGATGTATCGAACCGATATTGTAGGAGGTGCCACCTGTGAATCCCGTCAGTGGTTTTTTCTTCGTTGTTATCTTGCTTTCATTAATGTTCATCCTTGACAGCGTGTCCTTGAAGATGATATTGATGGTGCTCTATGACCAGT